CCCTTTATCTTTGGAGCATTGATATCCACGTCACCTTTGAGTTTTGGGCCTTTCAAGTTGAAGTTCACATCTGGCATAGAGATATTGGGTCCTGAAATTAATGGCATGTTGAATTTGGGACCTTGGAATTTTGTATCAGGTCCCTCAATTTCAACATCTGGTCCTTTTATGTCAATGTTAGGTGCTTTCACATCAATGTCTGCTTTTGGAAGGTTGATATCTACATCTGGACCTTCAACATTTGGACCTTTCAGTCCAAATGATGGCATCTTGAATTTAGGAATTTTTATTCCACCTTTGTGGCTCTCAATGTCAATATCTGGGCCTTCAATGTCAACATCTGGTGCTTTTATGTCTCCTTTGACCTTTGGCATTTTAACATCCATATCCCCTTCGAGTTTTGGGCCTTTTAGATTAATGTCAAAATCTGGGCTCTCTAATTTTGGACCTTTGATGTTCAATGTTGGCATTTTGATTTTAGGCATTTCAAATCCACCCTTTGACACTTCAAGGTCAATCTTTGGAGCATTGAAGGCAATGTCAGGTGTTTTGATGTCTCCCTTTATCTTTGGAACATTCACATCCACATCACCTTTTAGTCTGGGGCCTTTCAAGCTGAAATCAACATCTGGCATGGATATTTTGGGTCCTGACATAGATGGCACGTTGAATTTGGGTTCTTTGAGTTTTGCATCTCGTCCCTCAATATCAACATCTGGTTCTTTTATGTCAATGTCAGGTGTTTTCACATCAATATCTGCTTTCAGAAGGTTGATGTCAACATCTGGACCTTCTACTTTTGGCCCTTTCCATCCAAATGATGGCATCTTGGCCTTTGGCATTTTAATTCCTCCTTTGTGGCTTTCAATGTCAATGTCTGGGCATTCAATTTCAACATCAGGTGCATTTATGCCTCCTTTGACCTTTGGCATTTTAACATCCACATCCCCTTTAAGTGCTTGGCCTTTTAGACTGATGTCAACATCTGGGCTCTCTATTTTTGGACCTTTGATGTTCACTGATGACATTTTTATTTTAGACATTTCAAATACACCCTTTTTCCCTTCAATTTCGATCTCTGAAGTCTTGATTTCACTGTCAGGTGTTTTGAAGTCTCCCTTAAGTCTTGGTTCATTGACATCAACATCACCTTTGGATTTGGGGCCTGTCAAATTTAAGTCCACATCTGGCATGGATATTTGGGGTCCTGAAATAGATGGCATAATGGTTTTGGATCCTTTTCGTTTTGCATCTGGTCCCTCTATTTTAATATCTAGCCCTTTAATATCAACATCAGGTGCTTTCACATCAATGTTTGCTTTTGGAAGGTTGATGTCAACATCTGAACCATCTACCTTTTGACCTTTTAAACCATATGATGGCAGCTTGAATTTAGACATTTTAATTCCTCCCATCTGACCCTCAGTGTAAATAGCTGGGTCTTCAATGTCAACATCAGGAGCTTTTATGTCTCCTGTAACTTTTGACATTTTAACATCCAAATCTCCATCAAGATTTGGGCCTTTTAGACGATACTCAATGTCTTGGATGTCAATCTTATGTCCTTTTAGCTTTATTGATGGCATTTCGGCTTTAGGCATTACAAAACCTCCCTCTTTTCCTTTTTGGTCAATCTCTGGTGTTTTTATTTTAATGTCAAGTGTTTTAATGTCTCCCTCAATCCTTTTAATTGAGATTTCCTCATTTTTCTTCAATTTTGGGTCTTTTAGGTTGAGGTCAACATCAGACATGTAGAATTTGTCTTCTGAAGTAGATGGTTTGTTGATATTTTGTCTGACATCAACATCTGCACCTTCTACTTTTGGATCTTTTAGGCCAAATGAGGGCATCCCCATGTGAGGTATTTTAATTCCAGTTTTGTAGCTCTCTTGGGATTTGTAATCACTTTTGACATTTGCTTCAGTTGTCTTTACAGATGGCATTTTCATGTGAGACATTTTCACATCCCCCTCTTTTGTGAAAATTTTTACATCTGGACATTTACTCTCTATTTTCATTGCTACTGTTTCTCCCTCATTGGAATTCTTATCTGTCCACTTTGAACTTTGAATTGTGACATCTTTAACTGCCAATGATGTCTCACCTGGATCTGAGGAAAATTCTGTTGTGACCTCATCAACATCTTCTGACTCTCCCTCAATTCTGACTTTGAAACAGCTTGAACCTTGTTTTTGTGGCTGACTGATGGTACCTTTAGATGTTTTCACTGTCCTTTCAACAAAACTACTGCCTGACCCTCCAGTCTGTGTTTTATCCATGCTAGTAGTAGACATTTGATTGATTTTTTCATGTTTGATTGATCTTCCATTTTCATCATTTGAGGTTTTTCCTGCTCCTTCTGACCCTCCTATTGTTACATGCATAGTACTAGATTTTGTACTGTCCCCGAGTGCTTCAAAAACATGAATACTTCTAGCTCCCTTCTCTCCACGCCCTCTTAAGATTTCAGTGCCTTCATGACTTGTTACTTCAATATTAGGACTTTTACCTCTGATACCAGTGGACTCAAAAACACCATCATCTCTTTCAACTTTACCTGAAGAGCTGCTATGTACAATTCTCATACGTGGGGAGCCATCTCCAGTTTCATGCTGTAGCCCTTTAAACTCTGGACTTGACAGTTCTAGTTTCTCGCTTATGCCACTTGGCATTTCCACTGTGTACGTAGTGATGCGGCGAGTAACTGTCGTAATTGTGCTGCCATCACTGCTTGTGCTGCTGTGTCGCTCTGTACGAACATCCACTCCTTCTGCAAGATCTTCAGACTTCAGCCGTGGTTTAATCTTTCTTGTGTATATTCTTTTATAGTCCTCATCATCCCCACTCTGTTCATGGAAAAGTGTAAGTAAACATACAAGATGGTATGTTAGAATATAATTCAAAATTTAAGAGCTTGCTCACAACATTTATGTTGTAATCTGGCTATTTTATAAAACTTACGAGAATGACGTCTGGACTGGTTGCTCCAAGTCTCCCTTCCCACGTTAGGGTGCCCATTGGAGAACGGCATGGTGTACTCATGGGTGAGTGGCAAGGAGATTTCTCTCCTTTGTTTTGTAGTTTCAGTCCAACTTTGTGTTTGTTCAATGTCTTTAATAGCTCTGCTGTCTCTTCTGAGCTCATATTATCAAAGTAAATAGTGGCACCCACAATCTGGTCACCTGTGAGTTAAGATTTGAGAATGCAGCATTAAATTTTGTGATAGGTATTAAAGAAGCTTCAAAATAAATTTGTAGGTGACACAAATCTAACTTCATATTGGTTGTTAAAATACACTAACAAAAAACAATTAGACTTTACCTTGATACACTTTTCCAGATCGTGCTGCAGGTGACTCTCCTTTAACCTCTTTGACAAATAGCTCTCCTCCACTTGCCTGTTCAATTGTCAATCCGGTTTGGTCTGGGCCCTCCCAGTCTGGAAAGAGCACTTCCCTGGTTTCCTCATCCTCCTCCATCTGTAAAGATAGCCATATGAACAATCAGTGAACACAAAAGTTACAAGATAAATAAACAAAAAAAACACTGCTACAAGAATAAATAAGTAAAATACAGTTTATTTTTCTGTTAACGTAAAATACCTTCCTAATGCATGCTCAGTAATCCAATAATAATAATAAGCTCAATAATAATAATAATAGTAAAATACCTTGTTTTTGTTTTCCTCTTTTTCAGCCTTGGTCGGATGAAAAAAAAGTTGTTGTTTTCCTGTACAAAAAGATAAAGTTCAAAATATGAAACATAATAAATGAAAGAGTTATTCTTAATAATATATATTTTTTGAGTTAAAATAATGTCTTGTCTTTATCTTAAAGACATATTTTAGTATCACCTTTTGCTTGGCTGCCCAGTTTATAAGAAGCTAAGCTGAACACTAGATGGTGTTAAAACTCTTTCAGACGCCGCAACTATTTTCCAAAACTAAACTATCGTTACCATCATCAATCTCTCTATCTTTGCTTCTTGAATGCTTTAGTGTATGTTTTGTAAATTTGGTTCAAGTTAGGCCACACCTTGATCTGAAGAGAGCCACCTAATCCTGTGCCTACACCCCAGCTCCAAAGTCAATAAAAAGAACAATCTGCCCAGCTTTATGAAAACGCACACAGAGCTGCAGAAATGCACAGTTGAAATACACACAGAACACTTTCTTATTAATCTGGTAATGACGACCTAATTTCTAAAAAAACAACATCCCATATCCACAAACAGTAGTTTGAATATAGTCACAAAACTGCATACTGTTTTCATTTTACATAGCAATTTTTATTTGGGGGTCGAGACCGGGTAGAGGAAGGGCAGCCGACCTGGGACAAGAAAGTCACGGTTCAACTCCCAGCCATTCCCACACGTCGTGGTGCGCCTGAGCAAGACAACCGACCCCCAATTGCCCTTCCCCCCCCCCGGGCACCCAACAGCCACCCATCGCACCACCTGGGTGCATCCCAGGTGTGTTGGGTTAAATGCAGAGAACCTATTTTCGCCATTGTATGAGAACATACAGTACAACATATAGCACTTACTCATTTACTCTTTTCATTTTTCATAGCAATACATTATATTTCTGAATAATCAAGTATGTTTGCAACTGTCACTAATTTGCTTAACAGGCATCTAAAAATTAGTTTACAAGCTTATTCTTATGTTACGAACAAGACTTTCTCCAAGGTGACGTAAGTTAAATTGTTCATATAAATTAAGTGTAATTTTGGATTGTTTATTTTATTTATTTATTTTTTTAATTGCTCAAATTAGAAATTGTACATAAGGGTACAAACTTGAGGAAGAACAATGCTATAACACCAGAAATGTCACCACATATTCATGATGTAAATGTCAAGTTACTGTAGAGGACATGTCATTGTGGAAAGTGGTTGCTAGTACGATGGACTTTATAGACATGTGGCAGAAAGACAGACCGATTTACAGTATTTATTAGGGCGAAAGTGACAAAGCAACTGTAAATAAAATGATCCTAAAGCAAGGATAAAAATAACAGCTGTTTCAGAATGGATCTGTAACACTGAATAACTAAAAAGCATTGCATTTCTTACTATGCTGCTTTTCATACATGTATTTAAAAATAGGTTTACATGAAAACAACAGGGTAACTGAACAATTATGTAAAACAAAGATGCTTTTAGTTTAAATCTCATTTGATTTTGATTTTATTTGAAAAAGAAAATACATTTGCTGAGCCTACTAAGGCAGACATTATTTTACATCGTTTGGAATTCAGAAGTATAATTTTGTTGCACAGAATTGTGAAAGTTGGGTATATGTGAAAGTATTATTGTAATACCCTGGCAAAAGAACTGAACATGATTTGCAACCTAGTTGCACGCATAGAGACAATGACTAAAGTCAAGGACACTAATTATCACTAGTGAATAAATAGACTGGTCGTGTGTGTTGAGAGGTGATAAGAATGCATGCAATGCTTTGAGGTAATATTAAACCCTGTAAATGACTCTTACTAAAATAGTAGTTTGCAGACTTTCTGGACTTAACAACACAAGGCCGCTGAGAGTGTAATATCAGAGAGTAGGCTGGTCTTTTAGGCCAAGACGCCAGTCTCCTGAAGGTAACTGCAACCTGATCTTTTCTTCTTTTTCTGCATTTCTGCCTCAGGCTTTCTATCTCATTGTGTCTGTCTGTATTAGCCAGCTAAGACTTGAAATGTGAATCTATGAAGATCTCAAGCTGGAACTTAATAAGCATCAATTACAGCTAAAATGTGTGAGTATGAAGGGAACGAACAAAGCATCACACGGTGCCAAAGAGTTTACCTAACCCAGGTAACTTGTATGGTTGAATTATACTCAAGTCATCTGATAATGCCACTAAATGTATATTAACTAAGTCCGTATGTTATCACCTTTTGAGTATTCCTAACTGTTTAGTTAAAACGTCCAAAAAAGTAACATTTTTGTTCTTTAAACTGAAAGCAGGGCTCTTTCCTTATTTGGCTTTGTTATTTTATGTAGTAGCATTGTTGTTATGCATTGTCTGAGAGGGCAAAAAGATTTTTTTGTCTGCAAAAATCACCTTTTTATTGCTTCTTCACCTCTTGCTTTTTTGTTTTGTGTTACCCCAGGTTTAACATATATATATTTATAGACAAGTTGATACTTGCAGGAGCATAGCAGGGATGCGCCTGGGAGATAAGGGAGGTAGAAACAGAGAGGAAGAATTGAGAAAATTGTGAGAAAAAAAAAATGGAAAGAACAGACGAGATGGTATAAACTACGGAATGAAACATTAGCCTACAGGTCAACACACAAATGTAAAGGAATCCAAATAGAAAATTAAATTTTACATTATCAGAGAAGAAACTACATCAAACTGCAGAAAGATACATTGGACATTTACAAAGGTTTTTTCCTTTTCTTTTTTCTTTTGCAACCAAATTTAGTGCCAGGCATGGCTTTTTTTTTGGTCCCATTTTAGATAAATTTGTTATAAACTTTGATATTACATGAACAACGTTTGCAAGTAGAGCATTAACAAACTTTATCCAGATAATCATATGATTAGATACAGACTGCTGTAAACAGCTGCTGAATAAATACGCCTTTGTTCTTGGAGTCATAAGACAGGCAGGCAGTGTGTGACTCAATGTGATCAAACATAACAATCAACTTGTACTTTATTGTTCCTCTTATTTTTCCATTTACCGTTTGTTATGCTGTAAACTAAATGCTCTCAGTCTTTGCACAATGCTTTGAAGAAAACCATGAAGACCTTGAAAAAGAAGAGTAAAGGGAGACAGACAAGCTTGTCTGTCTCTCGTGTTTATTACAGTGTGGTATTTGTCTTGGGCAGGGTGGGGGTTGGGGGCATGCAAGCCAAAAGCTTCTACTACTAAAATACAATCACTGTGCATTTCTACGTCTTTATGCTTTGTCATTTACACAGAGAAAAAGTATTTTCTCAACCTAAATCAAACCAACAGTGTGACCTTGACAGGCTTTTTATAAGGTTGTTTTAAAAGGCTGTGAATGAAGCAGGTTGTCACTTGCAGAGGGAGGAGTGTGAAAATAACAACGGTGCAAAAGGCTGAAACAGCCAAATGTCAGGTTTTTACAGGGAAGGTCTTTCACGCTAAATAGAGAAAGCATGACCACTGAGGTTCAAAGCCCCACAGCAGATAATCCATAGTTTGGTATCTGCTTCCTCATTACATCGCTGGACAATGAGTCTATGATTTTGAAGTGGGGCGATGCATAAATTAGTTTTTTTTCTTTTTATTTAACCAGTTATAGATGTGATGTGTTGATTTTATGGTCTCAAGACACTTACCTTGGATTGCTCAAGCAAAGCCAAGGGCTTCAGTCTGCTACTTGTGTTCTTGATTCTCGACTTCTGTTGAAAGAAGCACAGAAACAGGATGGGGGTTTAGTCGCTGGAATTTTGTTCTGAGTACAATATAATAACGGGTTGCCATGTTTCAGTCATAAAATTCACATACAAAAAAAAAAGGCGGTTCTTCACAAGTTAGTCTTGTGTTTCTTATGACATTTCACTGTGTACACACAACAGGTCATTTATCACCAAAAAGTGTTTTCAAGGGTGCTCCGATAGTTGACCAAGCACTGGTAGCAATATTTACTCTACTATGCAATCTTCCAAAACTCCCTGTATGTAAATAAATCTAAATACCTGCAAGGCGTGGCACTTACTTTAGCAGAAAAAGAAAAAAAAAAGCACACCGGTAAATGGACTTGTTTACTTTAGCTGCACAGTCAAAGTTTGAAATCAGAAGCAAAGTGACAGCAATAGTTTTAAAGGAACTCACAAGGGAAATGCACTGCTGCATGTGCTTTTGAACATTTTATTTCTGTTTTTATAGTTCAGATTATAACTTTGTAATGTATAAAACCACTAACGCTGGTGGACTAGTATATAAAAGCCCAATATAGTAATAAAAATGTGTTATTGTAATTGCACTCCTCGTTTGGACTGTGAGTGTCCGTCGGCATGCCAAGTCAATCTTACTTCAACCCGCTGTAACTGGCCCAACTTCTTAAAAGTCTTATGAGGATTATTGTGTCAACCTAGTGGTGTATTGTGAAACAAAGTCTTCTTTTTGTCAGTCAGAGTACAAACAGAGCCAGACTTGATGTGTGTGTAGAAAGGCATCTACCAGTGGGAACACGTCTGTCTGAAAAATTCTCTCCAACCCCATCATTAACTTCTACCCTGCACAATGCCCTGTGTTTAATAGGCTGGAGTGCTCATTATTTTGATAAAATGTAACCAGATAACAGTGTTACTGAGACAGAAAGCATTTCTAATCAGTCACAGTCTATCATAATTTAATAATTTGAAGTAAAACTGGGTACAACTTGTTTAAAACCAACATTGATGCCAAAATCTTGGGGTATTTTTCTTTAAAGAATACACTGTTATTGGCCCCTTTGAATGATTCTCATAATGAAATAGCTGAGATAAATGCCAGCCAGTACATGGCTGTCATTATGCGTGTGTGGGAAGACCTACATTATACTCCAGCAGCTGTGTACACTTTCCAGATGATACTCTTGTTACACAGAAGCATTAATCAGACTGCTATGCCAGGACTCATTTGGATATCTTCTGACTCACATCTTTTAAAGGTACAAGTAGCGATCAAAATGTACAATCTGTGTGAGTTATCGTTTCCCAAAAGAAACTAGTATGTGAGATCTATATAATGCTTTTATATGTGTAAGAATGTAGTAAAATATATCTTGACAGTATCAGATTAAATGAACTCAAATGAGAAGATATAAGCTGCCCCTTTCACATCTTTGTAACACTTTTCACATCAGCACATACATAAGCACTGTGGTCAAAAACAGTTAGAAAAGGAATTGAGAACCCATGCTGTTCACCTAGAAATCCTGCAACCGAATTCAACAAAGCAGATCATGTAGCTTTGCTTCTGTGACTTGCTTGCGGAGTTAGCAGCTTACTGCACAACCCCACCCAGGCCTCCAGTCAAACACATTCTTTGATATAGCTGTCAGGCCAGCTGGAAGGGAGCCCAGCCTCTCCCTACAGTGACTAACCTCGAAGAAATGTCCTCTTTTTCTCTCACACTAACACCAGCTTCGTTCTGAATCGCCCACCGTGTGCCCTACTTGAGTATCTGCACTCTTACAGTCAGTCCGCCACAACTCCATGTTCTGTTCAAATGCGCAACAGGGCCACTTTCAGTCAGATACGCGCACGCAAAGACACCTTTAAATGCATTCTTTAAGTGAATATGCATATTGAAATGTTTGTTACAGCCATTTCTCATGCTCTACCTGTGGATGTTTACCGATGCAACAAACATCCCTCACTTCTTCAGTTTAATTACCAAACTCCTGGAGGCACATACCTATTCAGCTGTCATATTTTTTGCGGAAGTAGGTCACAGCTGGAAATGCATAAGTGGTTGAAGTTTGTCCACCAAGTTGATTGCCAAATCTAATCAATTTGGTGTGCAAGAATAAAAGGAGCAGTATGACAAAGGTTACATTTCACCCTTAAGTATTTTAAACACAGCGATTGTGGCAAATGATAAGATTTGATTATGAGTAAATCAATGAGACCACTGTGCACGAAGGCATAGAAGCAACAAAAAGCAGTGAGCAAAATCAGTCTTGGCGAAACAGAATAGACTCCCTGTTCTTCTCAATGCATTGTAGTTTGACACGGCAAGTAAAACAAACACCAAAAGAGACACACCAGGCCTCAACCTTCAGTCCTCCCTCAGAGAAGCTGATAGGCCATAAATGTATGACGCAAAGAAAAGGAATGAGCATCAAAACAAATTGTTTCTTTCTGCTCGCAATGTTCGTATAACCCTGAATAAAACCACAAGCCCTGAAAAGACCAAAGCCTGCCCGCTGACGCCAGCTTGGCCGACTGCTGATTAAACCATTGTGAGTTTGGAAAGAGTTAGGCAGCAAATGGAAAAAATGAAGAAAAGTTTTTCTCTTGGTTTTTTAAAAGATCACAAACAAGCCCAACCAGCACTGAAAGCACATTGCACCCCAGCCTTTAATGTAATGTGATTCATAGTTTAGGTCATGTGGCATATTTTACAAAGGACGTTAACTAAAGAGTTCAAAATTATAAGAAAACATAGAGGATAACACACAGCTGTCATTACTATTGTTGTCTACTATAGCACTATAGCCTGCATCCATATGAATTTGCCTTTTTTTTCTTACATAATGCAACACAAACTGTCATTGGTACTAAACAGAATAGTAACTTTTATTTTAAAAAATAAAAGGTTTTGGCTTTTCTTTCCTGAAAAGAGAAGTGATTCTGGGCTCCAGCCAGCAGATCATGTCAAAGCCAAAACATTGAGCAATGAACAAAATCATAAAAACTGAAAAGCCTGGCATGTTTTGTTGACATATAGAATAAAAATGCAACTTTTGAACGGGCATAACTAGCTTTAAAAAAAAGACCTGGCTAAAAAAACTAGTTGTAAAGCATTTTCTAACATTTTTAGCAAACCTATATAGGTACAACTTGCAATTACTCAGCCACAACTTAGCTTATTTGGGAAGTTTGCTTCTTGCATTGGCAACTTGAGGTGGAACAATTGTAACTCCATTTATGGAAAAAGTAACAAAATGATTACAAGTTGGTCAGAATATCAACAGAATAAATGTAAACAGATATAAAACTTGCTTAGCTGCAGAACGTTCTGCTTAAGCAGGCCAGAGGGTGCGTATTTGGATTTAAAGCCCACCAGAGCAGGACAGATTTGTTTAGAGCAAGAAAACATGTTTGGTGGTGAGGGTGCCAACCTTGAGTATCTTGTGCCAGATAAAGTAAACCTAAACACAGCTGAAGGCTTTTCCAAATTTGCATTCCAGGTCGTGGTGCTTGACATGTTGGGCCCTCATTCAAAATAGTTTTGGAAACAGATGTGTGTCATTCCTCAGTTGGGGTAACATGACAGGCCAGAGAGTGGAAGCCAGGTAGATTTTGCTGCACTACGGCAAAAGCGCTACAAGATTTATTGTTTCTGGGTGGTTCTGTATTGCAGATGTTTGCGATGGTGTAAGTTATTGGCTTAATGGGGGAAAGAAAAAGATTCACACCCATGTTGAGTTCTGCGCTCGCTAAAGCCCAGACAAACACAAAGCTACAGTAACCAAATCTGAATTGCATGCACGTGCATGGGTGTGACTGGGTTTGGAGTTATGTGTGACCCATGTTGGCTGTCTCATCGTAACTCAAAAAGCTATTTTTTAACAACAAGGCGAGCAACAGTAATGATACGAGTATCCACAGAGTGCACACTGAAGCATTCCAAACCAGCACTGGATGGGTGCACAGGGAGTGGCTGCTTTGAGACTGCTTCGAAGAACTAAATCTAAAATTGAGCGCTATGATGAAACGTTTATTTGCAACAGAAGGGGAACTACACTTTAACCAATCAATTAGGTGAAACCATGAGACCGCGTGGAGTTTCAGTGTCCAGAGCACAGCCATGCAAGTTGCGTAACAATTAAACCATAGCGTGACTCCAGTTCACTGTTTCTCTCTTTCTTTTTTATCTTATCCAACACATCCACAGTCCGCTTGTTGTCAACCCGCTCTGCCCCTTATTTCTAACCACTCACCCATCAAACCCATAAGGAAATGGCAAAGGAAGTGTGCTTGAGACCCGTTTCCTTAAGTTTCACTCTGGCACGTATGAGCAGCACCACACTTTGTGTTCCTGCTGTCAGTCAATAGCATCTCAGCGAAGTATGCAGCTTGGTATGGTTTAGTGCGTTGATGCAAATCTTAAGCCAACTTAAGACACTAAACGGTAAGGCATGGCCTTCTCGTCAGCCCTATTAAGATGGTGTTTCTCATGTGGGTGGCAGGAAGAATCGAATTAAACGCTATGAACTGCCATTTTCACCATATTGGCTAAGCTCAATTTAATTAATAAAGATTCTTGACAAATTTGCTGTGCATTTTTCATTTCCAAACGGGTTACATTAGTGAAGGTAACAACATAAAGTAGGCTCTGTGCTGCTGCACAGACAGTGAGCGTATTTAGACAAACAGTTTCTGCCCCAGGCCACGCTGAGGCCCTGCTAACTGACAAGTATTTCAGCTGTTGACAGTTAAGAACAAACCGCTGCGCCTCCTAAAAATTTGACTTGCTTGATTTTACTGGGTGTTTTAAGCCAACAACTTCAAGGTTTTTGATAGCTGCACTGTACTTAACTTAGTATATACTTTTAAAGTAAAAATACTCTATAAATCAAGCCAAATTCTCACATAACTTAGTTCTGTGTGACAATTTGGCCCTTTAAGCAATCTTTGATGCCATCAATCACCTTGACAAGAGCAATTTGAGACGTGCCACACATTTGCAGCTGCAGGACACTTAACGTTGGGTAAGTGTGCGCAGTAGAAAACGCTGTACAGAGCTACGCAGAAAGTAACACAGACTTCAGGGTGTGGCAAAGGGGAAATGTGAAGGGCAGGCAACTGCAAACAGTGAAATTTAACTTTCGAATGAAGGATTACATCTGTCCCATCTTTGTTTTCATTTTCCACACTTTGAACATGTGCTTTATGTATTAAGCACAGACAAAACTATATGTATTTGTACATAAAACAGATGTCTTTTAAGTTTAGTATACTGTAGTTCAAAACCTCTTTGACTTTTCCATTTCTGAAGTGCGTTATTTGTGCTTCTCCAAAAGTGCTAAGTCTTCACTCCCCTCTCTAGCCCCAAACCTGGTTCCAATTAGCTTGTCTTTCCAAACCACTACATTCCATAACTCCCCTCCTCACCCCAGTCCCGCCCATCCCCCTCCCTCCCGAACATGCTCTCTGACTCTGTTTCCCTGTCTTCCTCCCATCCTTTTCCCCCACACACCCTGGCACGACGCCCAGCTTAAAAAAACCCAAGGTAAAAGAAAGAAATCGCCCTCTGTTTGAGACTTTAAAAAACGTAAATTATTAAATATATACATGTGCCAAAGGCAAACAGCCTGGATACTTTTAAAGTTTTTAATCAAGAAGAACAAAACTACTTTGTTGGGAGAAGAAAAACTCCACCAAAGGATGCACTGTTAGGAACCTTAATACTCATCTCTTACGTTTCTCAAAAGTCTTTTGCATTTAAATTACCTCAAATAAGATTTGTTTCTCACACACAACGCTAATTTAGCAGAAAACGTTGGGATCAGTACTTTTTTATTTTTATTTTTTTGCATGTGGGACCTTTAAAAGTACTAAAGGACCCGCTGTGACGACTGTCTGCAGTGTGTAGGATTTTATTTTCGCTTTTCGTATTTTTCTGACTGCGAAGGGTGTGCCTCTCCGAGGAGACAGCAAAGCAAGAAGGGAGGGAAGGAAGAAAAGAAGTAGGCGAAGGGAGGTGCAGGAGAGGGATCCACACCCAAATTTGTTGCTGCTGTCTCTCACAGGGAAGCACCTTCACTTTTTAAAACCTCTATCCATAACAAAGTATATCAACCATGACATCAACAAACTTCTTCCGGCACTTTATTCCAACTTTCAGCTCCTCCTCCCCCCACCCTCTCTCTCTTGGGAAAATGTCCTAAAGACTGTAGATTAATAAGCATGTACAATACATCTAATTTGCACAAATCAAATCACTACAAAAATACTATACTTACATCTACATATACAATGTTTGCTACTGTTTATGAACTCGTGTACTATCTTGAATCCATTTTGAAAAGGCTGATATAGCACTCGCGTTTGTGTGAGCAGCCATTGACAAAGATAAAAGTGAAGTGCGCAACTCCACTAAAACCCCGTGCATTCATGTTGACCTGGGGGTACACACCCACTTCTCATGCCTTGCTCTGTGCTCAGTGTTGATAAGTGCGTACTGAGTTACACACAAACTTAGTGCCATCTTAAACAACAAAAACACAGCAACAACAAAAAAAACCCAACGGAAGCTGAACTTCCCTTTGGAAAAGCCACAGGACATCACAGCAGATTAGCACATGTACTAAAGTTGGACAGCATCATTGTAATCTCACAACACATTCATAAGTGCGTCCTGGCATAACAAAGCAATGGCTGCACATAACATTTGTAGCAAAGTTTGTAAAACTCTGAGTTGTAAAGTAGGATCTGCTCATTAACAGCACAGGTGAGCACAGCTGGCAAACTTCAGCAGTGTAACAAAAACGTTCACTTCATTAGACAAAAAGGAAAATGTGCATCTTTACCTGTGCGCAATCTTTGCGCCCAAGAAGCCTCACATCGACTTGAGCATCCTTGGAAACGTCTTTTCCCCTGCACCCCAGCCCAAGAAGTGTACGTTCACACTGTCACAAGTTTGCAGTCTGTCAGGAGTCTTGCTGTTTTCCTAGTTCTCTATCCACCAGATTTCCAGGGCGTTTTCTCCCTCCCTCCTTTTGCCCTCCCTCTTTTTGCTCAGAGTTGATTTAAGCCTCTTTTTTTTTCTGTGACTTCTCCTCTGGGCTAAGCAGAGTGGTTGGACAGGGAGCTGGGTAGGGCTCCTGGTTCTCAGAGGGAGGGAAATGCAAGGGAGGGGACCTGTGTGAGGGAGTGGTCCCCAGCACTGGGACCACCCACTGTTCCACATAGAGGACTGCAGCTAGAAAAGCAAGCTTAACTTTTAGGAGAAAAGGTTTACAGCCTGTTAAATGCATTTGTAATCAACAATTTAACTGTAGTTTGTGATTAAGAAAAGTTTTTCCCTCAGTCGTACACAAAGGGAAGTCCTTATTCAACACTTTCAACTGTATAAGTATGATTTAATCAGTTAGAATGACTCCGAAGCACACAAAGCAACGCACCACAAAGTGAGTATTATGTGACAGACAAAGGTATAAACATGTTATTAAGGCATTTGAATCACTGCACACAAACTGATTCAAGGTTATCATTAACGAAATGATTCATGGAGCTCTTTTCTCACAAACTTCAACAATGTATCTGTTTACAGATGAAGTCTTACAAGAGGCAATACCACCCTGAACTAACACATTTCAAACTTACACCGTTTGTATTCAAATTATTTAGAAAATATATACAGTATATACAATAGATTATTTATCTAAGTGTTTTGTTGCATAGTTGATAAGAACACCATACAGTTCTTATTGCTTTGTTTTGTAACAATCAGTTTGAAATCTACTGTTTAATATCATGTTTTATTGGCAGTCCTTCACCAGCTTAGCATTTCTCAAATATTTTCTAAGTACTTTCAGTTTTCTTTTTCTGTAGTTCTTACACAGGGTATATTCTGCCTGACTAAGCTTTAATAAATATTAAATACCTCCTATTAAATAAAAAATTGGGCATTATTTGTAGAAAAATAAAAGAAGCTATTGTATGATACAAGTAACGTAAAAAATTACACTGGATGGTGGCCTTAGAAGTATTTTGCCTCATGGGCAGTCGTTAAGCCGACAACTTGTTCATAAAATAAAACGTATCATAAAAGGAGTTCAGTGACTGAAACGCAATAACAAGATGGCGCAACTAATTCTCTTTTGTTGTTGTTGTGACCTGCAGCCATGTCGGATGACCTGAAGTGCCCTTTTTTTCTCCAACACCATGCAGCACTTTGCATCAGTTTGAACTGGTTTTAAAACCAGACATTATAATATATTAACACTGTTAATTTAAGATGATATTTGGTAGTTTACTCTTTTATTTTTATACTAGAAGCTTTTGCCATTTGTGTTAGTGTTTGATCATATTTCTGTTTATGGATTACAGGTTTTTAAATGTCTTATTTCCACTATTTATCCATTATCTCATGTCATACGTGACACTTGTGCTTTCTTGTGTTTTCATTTTTCCACATCTATCAAACTATTTGTTTTTCTCATGTCACAACCATGCTCAGTGATGTTAAATAGCAAACAACATGGTGAGAAACAGGAGTTGAGGAAGTAGCCGTGCTGCTTTGTGGGGAATAAACAGGGTGTGGCATACACGCTTGTACGTGCATGCGTTTTGATTTTGCAGCACTTTACCACCCTGGAAGGAAACAGCTAAAGTTTTTTGTTTTTTTGAATGTCCAGAGGACCAGATTGAACTTTTGTGGATTTTTCTACCTGGATTATTGAGCATGCATCAGGAAACAGCTAAAGGTTTGCTTTGTCCCCAAAAAGACAGGCTGAGCCTCTGTCACGAGAAGAACAGCCATTGTTTGTGCGTGCAGGTGTATGGTTCTGTTCCTGCACGCACACTGAAACAAAAGTGGAAGAGTGGTGCTGACCGTGTGGAGGATGAGCAGAGAGCAGGAGCTCCTGTGATTTGAGATGTTTCCACAGAGTGTAGCTCCGTTTTAAATAAACAGTGTTTGTGGAGAGAAAAGCACGACAATTTACAAACAAAATTATCAGATTCAGAAGTTTATTAAAAACCTAACATTCCTTGAAGGAATACACATTTACCCAAATGAAAGAGTTGTAGCCATTTTGGTCACACCTTGATAATTATGGTATGTACAATCTCATGAGGTAATGCAGTATCTCGTGTGATTTTGCATGACCTGTTAGCGCTTAGAGTTAAGTTGTAAATGACTGTCAGCTACTACCACACCAGGTTTTAGCTCAATATAGGTACTAGTAATGTAATATGTAAAATTCACTAAGAAGTAGTAATTTATGTGCAAGCTAAGGTTGATGAGCTGTGTCAGGCATCTTTAAGTGGGATGACTTCAAAAGGTAACTAGAGAAATTGCATTTTCTGCAAAAATGCAGTGTGAATGCTTTTTGCAGAAGAACTTGCTGAAATTAGCACAGAAAATGCTGAAATGTAGCTGAAAATGTAGAACAAGTATAAATCAGTAGGAGGAAGCAGAAAGAACACAAATGTTTAAATAAGTGCAAAAAATGTGGAATTAGCTGAAAAAGCTAATATTAGCATAAAAACAGGTAAATAGTAAACAAAATAACTGAAACTAGCCGAAATAAGCTGAAAGGAGCATACCAAGTTGAAATTAGCAAAAATAATTTAACTTGGCTGAAAGTATTAGAAATTACCATGAAAAACTTGAATTTCTCTGAAAACAGCTGAAATTAACTAAAATATGCTTAAAAAATGTAGCTGAAAAGGTAGAGCAAGCTTAAATTGGCAGAAGAAAGCAGAAAGAACATGTTTACCCAGTTAGGCTGAAAGAAACACAAAACAGGGGAAATTACATGAAAAAAGCTGATATTAGCATAAAACAGCTGAATAGCAAAAAAAAAAAAATGCAGAAAGAAGCTAAAACTGCCAGATGGAAGTGGAGAGAGCACATCTTTGCTGAATTAGACTGAAGAAGTTTAAATTGGTGCAATAAAGAGGAATTAGCTGAAAAAGCTAAAGTTAGCAAAAAAACAGCTAAATAGTAGTTGAAATAGCAGAAAAGGCTGGAACTTGCAGAAATAAGCTGAAAGGAGCATAACAAGCTGAAATTAGCAGAAATAAGTAAGAAGAATGAATAAAATGAAGTTAGCAGAAATAATCTGAAAGGAGCACAAAACAGCTGAAAAAACAGCTGAAATTATCTGAAAGTAGCTGGAAAAAAGTTTAAATTTGCACAAGGAAGCTGAAAGAAGCTGAACCAGAACAAAATGTGAAAGGAGCAGTAAAAGGTTGTAAACAGATCTAAAGATCTGAAAGATATTTCCTAGGAGGAAAAAATAAAAGTGCAGGAAAGGCTAAATATTTCAAAAAGCTAAAGTTGCACAAATACCAAAAGTCGAAGCACCCTTCTCCTGAACGAGCTGAACGTTTTGAGATTTTGACGATAGCGCAAAGATTGTGGAACGAGAAAGATGCTGAAAAATGTACGGATGAAAAATGGATCACAACAGTGTGAATGCTTCGTAAACATTCACACAATTAGTTGTAGGTGTACTTCCAATAATTATTTTCAGAAAGTTTAATTAAAATCTGTTCAGTTATTTGTAAAATATTTTGCTAACAGTAGAGAAATGAACACATGCGCACAGAGATCAGCAAAACCATTGTTGCCTTCACCTTTGAGAGATAACGAGTAGAGATAAACCATTTTTTGACAATAATTACATTTTTTACTGAAGGAATGTCTTTGGGAATGTCCTGTGACTGCACGTGCAGGTTGGCTGTTATTGTTGGGGGGGTTTTGCCACTGAGGCGAGGCTCTTGTTGCTTTTGAAAAAGAGTTTCAGCTTACAGCAAACACTGCTTTCAGTGGAACAACTTGTGTGATGTGTCCACATATAAACAGCAGGATTCCTGTACAAACTGTTTGCCATATACCAACTTTTTCAGCAGGCGTTGAAAAGTTATAGCTCCATAACAACCCGGTAATCTAAAGCAGGTTAAAGAGCAGCAGCAGATGATAAACAACTTTAACACAAAAGTTTACGGCTGCATTTTTCTTTGTGTCACTGGCAAATTGAAGCATGAAGGAAACGTGCTGCACGTTTTGAAGATTTTTTTTTTACAAACCAATCCCAGCTCTGTTCGTCCATAATTTGCAGGTACTCCGGTTGAATACAAGGATATGCGGGAATGGGTGTGCTTCCTGGCCATAGGTGTGTCGGTTGGTGTGAACCAGCACAAACAGATTGGCTCAGACGCAGAATGAGTCACAGCCCAGGACTACAATGAAAACAGGGCAGCTCAGACAGCAGAGGAGACTAAAATCAGAGGATTAAAAAGCCATAGACCGGTGGACGTATGATTGCACGTGTGCATGCGCATGACTATATGATTGATGCGTCCCGAAGAAAAAGGGAAGTGGCCTAGCACTGAAATGTTAAAAAAAAAAGGTAACTTGTGACACACTCAAACAACACCTGGAAATGATAACTACTGGGATTTAATCTGATCTTCTGGAGCAACTGTTTGGCATCGCTCAGAGGCACAACACCCATCTGGGTGTGAGCTGCACACAGGGTTGCGTAATCCACGTTTAATCAGAAACGCAAAACAGATCAAATTGTTGGCTTCAAACCACATTGCACCTTTTTTACCAAAACTATTGTTAATTCCTTTAAAGACAGATGATACATAGGAACTTGCTAAAAGACACTAAATACAATAGTCCCTCATTTATCGGGGGGGTTACGTTCCAGGACACCCCCACGATAGGTGAAAATCCATGCAGGAAGGATATTATATTTGCTTTAGTATTTAGATATATTTTAAGGTTTATAAACCCTTCCCACACCCTTGCAATGTTCTTAACAATGTTTTAAACTCTGTAATTTTAACAACATATGTATATGTAATTTACAGTATTGCAAAATTTTATATGAGTACTCATCAGTGAAGATACTACTACAACTTGAAGGATAAGTTCAGCTTCAGGATTATTTGTGACTTTCCCACCAGTTCTGTGAGCTTAATAGATATATTGTTACTTCTGACTTTGCGTTCCAAAACTATTTTTACCGCATCGGTTTCTCCGCTAGTGTTTGCTACCTCCATTTCTGTTCTTTGAATTTCGGCAGAAAGCAGCAGCCGGAAGCACTGT